ATCGGTGATTGTTTTTTTTAAGGTGAACCTCTTGGCTGACTAATTTTTGGCAAATGAATATGCGGTTTGAGTGTTGTCATTCATTCACTTATTGTTTCCTCTTTAAGAAAAAAATTTTAAAAAATATACGTAGCTGATTTTTTACTTTGTAAAGTGGGCGTGTCGCATTACGGTAATTTATTAAGTGTTTTTCTTGTTGTTTTTCTCACTCTTTTTAATTGCCGCTCAGATGATTTAGTGTCTTTACTTTCTGCCTTTCCTCTGGTTGTATTTCTTATGACTTTCACCTCGCCAAAGTGAAATTACGGCCTAATGACTAAACATTTCATTTAATTAGAAGATTCATCGCCAAGAGAAACAACAATGAAAAGGGCGGAACATAAAAAGGGTTTGTTCAACTCTTATTTTTAATTTTTAATTTTTCTCATTGCTCATAACAAAAATTTTGGCAATCAAGGAAATTGATCTGACACCTGAAAACCCAAAGAGGATTTGAGGTGTTTTGGTTACGCTTGGAATTTTGATCGATGTGAATGAATTCTGAGAAGGAAATATATTATGGACTTGGTCATTTTATTTATTTTGCATGTAAAGCTTTCACAATCTCTTGCTGTTATTTTGACATTTTTTGGAAGTTTGTTGTGGAACCCTTTTGGGGTCTCCTCTGAGTCACCGGTAACCTGCAACACGTTGCAATGTTGCAACATTGCAGCGAATTAATTTATCAACATTTTACCGCTACACAATGTCATCGCAAGCAAAGAAGTTAGCAGCATTAAAAGGCAATAAATTTGTCGGACAACTCGCCTCGTTCTGGATCTCTCTGGCTTCGACTTCCAAGAAGCCAAAGTGGCCACTCGATATGGCCAAACATTTCTGAATATCTCCGGCTTGGTGGAGGAAAACCTCGACTGAAGTTTGATTTATGCGTTGCGATGCTCAATGGGCGATACCATCGGGGTCCAAGGAAGTACTATACTCTCTTGGCGGGTTCGCAGTCAAATTTTCAGGCCCAAACGGCACGACTACCAAAATGCGCTTTTGCCGGCCAGCGTCTTGCCTGGCGGTTAAATGCAGCCAAACATAAATTATAGGCCATGGCTAAGTAGGAAAAACTCTGGTTGAGCCCAGCACCGGGGCACAGTGGGAAAACTAAACTAGATAAAGTCATTTCGTAGGCATTTTCTTATAAAAGAAAGAGTTTTAATTATTACTAAAATGAAATGAGTTGTAGAAAGATCTTTTTACTGGGAGAATATTCGTTCTATATTGATGTCTTATCTTTTTATGTGTACAGGAATCTAGTGATCATTATTGTTAGTTTATTGTTTGATATATTTTTTGATGTATTTGTATAGATTTCTTCTTGAAGATAATTATAAGAAACCTTTGCAAGAGACTTAACTATAGACACTTGAAGATACTTCCAGATGCATTTTATTTATTTAGGTGTATTTTTGGATATCTATATAATATATATAAGGCTTTCTTCTTGGAGCTAATAATAAGAACATTTTTAAAGTGACTTGACCATATGAAACTCGAAAATATTGCTTAATTAACTACCAGATGCAAGCTATGCAAATTGTATCTTACAGATACAACATTTAAGCTGTAAAATGGCTGTTCTTAAACGTATTCTATTGGGTCTTTTTAGGGATTTTGAGTTAATGATCTAAGATAAAATTAAATTTATAAATTTATAATATAATAACACAAGGAATCTACATAACTCCCCCTACTTATCCCACAGTGCCTGACATTTCCCAGCCCGCTTTCCTGGCAGCACTTTTCGCTCTGCCTCCACCAACTTCCCCCCGTTGCTACTTTCATAATATTGGCAAACATTTAACGAAAGTCCAGTCGGGGTTTGGCTAAATGCATAAGCACAATACATGAGCACAGGAACTTCAACTTCAACTTCAGTTTTAGCTTCAACTTCAGCTTTAACCGCGTAATGCAAAAAGTTTCCCTGAACTGCGGATGCTGGGCTCTCTTGTGCCGCTGCTTGCCAGCTTCCAAACGATCCGCAGACGACTTACGGGGACGGATCGGTGGATACATGTAGCCGCCGTCAATGTTTCGCCTTTGTCTCGTAAATTTTAACATTTTTATTATAAGAGCCAGAGCCAGATCCATACATATACCCGGCTGCTGATTTCTCACACAATGCGCGCGATTTATTTTGTATGCATTGCGAGGCTGAAATTGATTAATTACAAAGCGGAAGACTTGGCTGATCCCCAACACATTTTGTTATTATTATTAATATTATTATTTTTATTCGTGGCTTCATTGATCAGGCTTAATTTTCAGTATTATTACAATTACATAGAGCTAAGTCTAGTGCGTTTCGTGACCACGATTCTTTGATTGTTGTTATTCCATTTATTGTTGTTTCGAAGGTTTATGCATTATCTAGTTGACACTGACACCAGTGACACTTGTATGAATTAATGTTATGGAAATGTGTGAATCAATAAATGGGGTTTAATCGTAATGAAAATATATTTCAATGGGTTAAAAAGTAGGAGAACCAGAGAAGCAACATTAAAAACATTTCTTAAGTGATTACTAAAGAATGGAATCTTATGTCATTTCTTGCCTGTCTTTCTATAATACCATGACTATTTTTTATATCAAGTAGCACATGTTCTTGAGTCTATATAATTACATGATCTGGCGCCTCGTAAATTCCCAGGCAGTGCAAAAAAAAAAGCAAAGACTCAAAGTGAAATCTCAAGTGACAATGGGTGGGGAGGGCATTAATGCCAGTCGCACTTACACTTAATTGCTGTCAAGTGTTTTGCAAACCCCAAATTGGCAGCCCAAGTGTGAAGGAAAGGAGGGTGGTAAATGTCTCTAAGGGTTATCTGGTGGAATGTCAAAGCAATTAGTTCCAATCGACTCGCGCTAGATACAAATTTGTACAAGTATCTTTTCCTCGTCAATGTGTTGTGGTGCGGCAAGAAGTTGACACACTCGGCTTTTGATGTCACATGTGTGTTTGCCTTTTAATGATTCTGTGTGCTACTTAAATTTCACAGAATTCTCGTTGTTATTATTGCTTGTTTTTTCTTGTTTTTGTGGCTTCTGTTTTTAATGAGCTATTAAAATGTTTGGGGAATCGTACACACAGAGACATGTGTAAGAGCAAATTGCCATGTAAGAACAACACACGTAACCGAATCTTTCTCTCTGTAAAGTTTATTTTTATGAAGAGGATTTAGTTTATGGGAGATGCTTCCACATAATGAACATATAATGAGATCAGTTCTATATTTATATTTTGTGTAATCTTATAAGTAATAGTTAAAAATTCCTTTTTTTATGTTTAAACTAATTTGTACCTTATTTTTCGTTTCAGGTAAGTCTTGTCTCAGTACATTGGTTAACACTTTTGTAAGTAAATATTCATAAACAAACAATCTGAAGGTAAATTTACACTTGGATTAGATCATGCCAAATGTGTCACAGTCTTGAAATATAATCCCTGTTTCCTTCAAGTAATACGATCTCTCGGGGATTACTATCCAAATCGCTTTAGAAACTTACTCTACTTATTAAGTTGTAAGGTGTTGTAGACAAGACCTGTATGTTATATTTGCCAAATCATTAAACATAATTAGCCGGAATGATATGATCTCATAACCAGTTTGTTCGGCTGGCAAATCCTTTAGTTAATTGGCAAACAGAGGGAAGAACAAAGGAGCTAAGACCTCTTCTCTACCTGTGACAGTCTAAAATTCATAATTCAAACATCAATTCCGAGAACACAAAGTGTGGACACAATATTTCATAAATGTCTGGCCCAAAAGTCTGGCGACTGAAACCGAAGCTTGTCTTGAAACTGACTTCCTTTTGGCTGAAGTTTCATTTCGGTTTTTATTTGCAATCAAACTCAAAATGCACAAGGCAATGGAAGAAGCTACATTAACCTTCAAGTCGAGGGGGTTCGTTGGTATTACTTTTTTGACCATTTTTTGTTTCGGTTTTGTTGCGCAAATAAAACAACTACAGCGCCGACACAACGACTTCGAGTTTTGTATCTAAAATCAACAAGTTCACGACGACATCACCAGGCCAGGCCAAAAACAGAAAAGATAAAAAACTTTAAAGCGTCAAGCAAATACACAAAAAAGATACCCAAGCACCAAACACAACCACAAATACCCCTTATTCATTGCCAGACCTTTTGCTTAGAAGGTAAATAGAAGCCCGAAAACTCGCTGAAACCTCTCCACCGAAAAGCCCATTTTGTTGACAAGTCAATACAGATAGAGTATTCAGTCTCCTCTACTCAATGGCTTTTCAAGGGGGTGGCAAAAATCATTTTGGGGCTCTATTTCCGCTTAGAGCTGTAAGTTTCCATTGTGACAGTTTCCAAAAGGAAAAATCCTCTATGCAAAGGTGATTGATAATGAATTTGTAATGGTTTGTTTGTACTTTTGAACAATATCTTAATAGAAATGGTATAGAAATATTATAATTATTATTAAGAAACTATAAGAATTAAAATTCCTTTATAGCATTAACTGAAAGATACTCTGTTGATGGACATATTGCTGATTTCTCCTCATTATACCCTTCCAGGGCACTTAAATTGTAGTATTAACTTTGGCTTCTTCCTTGCTTTTAATTAAAACAAAAATAGCTCACTTACCACTGACATTAATTCAGGTTTCTTAAAAGTATCTTATTTAAGTAATTGAAACCCCATGAGTAATGCCACTTGGAAATCGATCGTCAGCGAATTAAATTTCGTATTTTTAATGGCAATTCAATACATTTGATGAACACTTTTGAGGTGCCACTGTAATGTAATGTAATAGCTTACGAATATTTCGCCTTCAAGTTACAAGAAAACTTAACCGCACAAGAAGTCAAGTTAGTTGGTTTCATTTTCAACAGTTTTGTTTTGAGGTTTCTTTAATTATGTTTAGCTATCAAGAAAGTAATTTGTAACTATAATTTAAATATATTGTAAAGTATGCATAGATTTACTCTTCCACTTTGACATCCTGGGACTTCTTTTTAACCTTTTGCTCTTCTAGCATCAACTCCTCGATCTTCTTAATGTTCTCTTCAATCTTCTGCCTTTGAAGTTGCTCCTCCTGGCTAAGCTTCTCAGCATTTGGTTCCAATTCGGAAGCGGGTTTGACCTTGCCCTCTGCCTGGCTATCGCCCTCAGTGCGTCTGCCCATTGGGAGGCGTGTGACCAGGTGGGGTGGAACTCGTATACCTGCTCCTATGCGATTATCGTTTTTGTACTGACCAACGGCTCGGACAAATGGCTTCAGTGGACAACCCTTGGCCGTGGCCTCACCCATCAGCTGACGGGCATAATCAAAGAAGAAGGCATCCTCTCGCAACTCCTCCAACTGGGCCTCCCTGTTGTAGTTGGTATCTGGACGTGTCTCCTCCTCGATGCGTTTCTTTACCTGCTCATCCAACTCCTTGCGGAGATCTCTCATACGCTGGAGATGCTCCTGGCGCTGCTGCCGCTTGAATTGGACATTGGTCTGATCATTTTTGAGGCGAAGTTCCACAGCCTCCCGGAGGTCTTCCTCCTCCTGAAGTTTGATCTTTCTGGCCAGTTCCTCCTCTTCTTTTTGTATGGCCAATCGAGCGTTTTTAGCCCGCTCTCGGACTTCCCGCTTCTTGGCCTGCTCTGCTGAATGTGCCCTTCGCATCTCCTCCAGCTGACGCTTGTGACGCTCCTCATCCTCACGAGCACTGTAGTGGAGGCGAGGAGCCAGCTCCTTGGCTAGCTTCTCATTCCTCAGAATGCGCTGCTGCACTCGCTCCTTGGCTCTATCACGCTTGAGCTTCTCTAAACGTCCCTTGGCCTGGTTGTGGACATCGCACTGGACCTGCTCCACTTCCTCCAGCATTTGGAGACGCTTCTGACGCTGCTCGGACATGGCCAGGGAGGCCAGAGCCTCGTCCCTTTTCTGGCGTTGCTTGGCAAGCTGCTGCTCCTTCTCCTTGTCCTGCTGCTCCTTCAACTGGCGCTGATTACGCTTCCGTTCTAAGCGTGCCTGCTCCAGCTCCTCGGCTTTCGAGGCCTATGAATAAATGGGAATGTAGTAATTTATAGATATATTTAAGAAGATTTATATATTGATGAATCTAAACGTGATTAAATGTGCTTTTAGTTAAACAAACAGCATTAACAAAGATGTTAAGACCACAAAACGTGTGTCAAGATGACATTCCACACATCTTACTGATTAATATGTATATATTAATATTACCTGACGTTCCCTTTCCCTTTCCGCAATGGCCTGGAGCAGCTCCTTTTTGTGCTCGCCCAGCTGCTGGCAATGCTCCGCATGTCGCTTTTGGGCTTCCTCAAAGCCTCGAAACACCTGCTCCTGATACACCTGCCTGTCCAGTTCCGCCTGACGTTGATTGGCCTTGGCATATTCCTCTTGCACCTCTCGCTGGGCATTGATGCTGCGCAGGACCTCACTTTGTAGCCGAGCGCACTGCAGCTCTCGGGGACCAGGACGCAGTTGCTCCAACAGCTGCTGTGCCGCCTCTATGCGCTTTTGCCGGGTTTTCTGATGCTCCTGACGGGATGCCTTAGTCTCCTCCTCTGCCAGACGTTTGGCTTCCAGTTCATGCTTCTGCTTTTGCTGCAACTCCCGAGCACATTCCTCCTCCTGGGAGATGCATAGATTCCGGCCTCCGAACTTCTTGAGAAGCTCTTCCCCACCAATTCGCAGTTTCTCATCAGCCTCGTGGCGCAGTTGCTGGAGATGCAGTTGCTCCTGCTTGGCTGCCTGGCTGGCATTAGCACAGATTCGTTGATACCTACTTCTAGAGATGACCACCGGTGGCCTTTCCCGGACAACAGGTTCACGTCGCTCCTGTGGCAGCCAGGAATACTGCATTGTTTGGGGAATTGTTAGCAACTAACTGTATAGGAAGGGTCTTTATAGGTTGAGTTCTTGGCGTTTCCATGGGTTATAGGTTTTGTTTCCACAATTATGGGTTGTCTTGGAGTTGAGAGGGTGGTTTTCTGGGGTCTTCTTTTCCATATTTATCCCTTGAAATATATTTTATGATTTTGATATACCAATTAATTACTTTGTTTAAATGTATTTCACATTTTCTCAACTTAATTAAAAGCTGTATAACATTTTCTTTCATTAATGATAGCTTTTACTGACTAACTCCGATATAATCATTCCATTAAGACATCATGCCTTCAACTCATCATCCTTAAAAGTGTTGTAATGAAATGCCAAAACAGATATTGTCAAGTGTTTGCCAACATTTTGAGTAGTTTATTTTAATTAATTAGTTTTGTGTGCACACTGCGACAAGCCACTGTCAACGCAAATGGCCAGGTTGAGCATTTGGTTTGATGGCTTAATTATGTCCAAAAGTAATGGGTACGCCATTTGGCATAGTCAGTGCAAGTGACAGGTTTTGTGATAAAAATGGCTGATGCTTTTGGCCATTACACTGAACCCGCAATCTATGGCCAATCTCAAATGTGGTTTTGAGCTTCCCGGTTGAGTTGTTAGCTCATTTTGAATGGAGAGCCCATCCCTAAAGGGCACAACCATTTGGACACGCTTCATTTGGAATCATAGATTTAACTCAACTTGGTTTAAAAAAATTTAATTAACACCTGGCTGTGAATGCCGAACCTGGGGAATATTCATTTCCAATTTTGAATTGGGTCAGTGCTTTGCCTTTGTCGTTGTTTGGGGTTTATGCCACAATATCTAACCAAAATAAACACAAAGCGATAAAGGGGTATGCCCGGCCTCAAACTATTTACACCGAAATCCAGGTTATATATAAACTTTATCGGAGCACAAGCCATTTGAAACTTTAAGGGACCTAAAGTTCTCGAAAGAACTACCTAAGGTTATTAAATATTTTCCTAGAAGCAAAAAGTATAAACTATTTAATGAATAAAACATAAACATAACTCTCCTATTGACCCTCTTTGTGAATCCCTCAAGATTAGTATTATTCATTTACTTGATCATTTAGAGTACTTTACAGTTTCTCAATGCTTGTAAAATGAAGTGGAATATAACCTGCTCACTTACACCATTCGAATACAACACCTTCTCGTTGGAGAGACTGCGTCAAGTACCCCGATTCTTATCTAATCGAAACTTATTGGCTCCCCATAGACTTTTGCCTGATACCATGTAAATATACGACTGTCCGATGCTGGTTCTACTTTGTCTTGCTGCCCAGAGACAGCCCGGACATATATCACTTGATCTTCAAGTGCGAATGACAGCTCGGAGTAGGAGAGACCAGAGACAAGAGACTCAAGACTCAAGACTCGGGACCACAAGCCTTTCGCCTGACCACGACGACTACCGTCCAGTTCGTTGCTTCCACTTGAATGACTTCATGTGCCCCCGGTCGGAAAACTTGAAAAACTTGTCTTTGTCTCCACAACCAGAGAGGCTGGGGGCAAAAGGCATGGGGAACTTGCACTCGAGAACAACACGGCAACAAGGGAGCCTGAAGAATATATGTATGTAGGTATGAAGAGGAGCGGACGAGACTGGGCCAACAAATGAGTGCAACTGTTTTGGCCAAGAAGCCGCAGTCCAGTTTTACGTGAAAGCAGAACAATCCCCAGGGACTGGGATTGTGGCCTGTGTATCTGCCGCCAATATATCTGCAAAGTATCTTCTCTTTCTTCTGTTGGTTAGAGCAATTAACATGCAATTAAGAGACGTTTCAATCTCAAAGAAGAGCCAAGACATCGTAAACACTTTAAAGCGGTGGCAGTCTACAAAACTTTTGATGGGCTCCGATCTTGGGGCTTCTCGGGAAGCTTCTAATTATAAAGTTCCGATCGTTGGGCACACAGAGTGTTTCTAGCGAAAGTTTTAGACAGGAAATTGATGGGATGTTTACACACAGAAGCAATGAAAAATGTGTGTGTAATTTATAAATTTCAGTCATCAATCAGATGGGTTTTAAATCAAGGCACACCTTTATTTTAACTTAAGAAGTAAGCTTCAAGAATTGTAAGAACTATTTCTGGACACTATTACTTTGCCTTGTCATGTGTAGAGGTATCTCAGAGAACAACAGTTTTGATAGGCCATTTCTTGTCTGTAATCTTGAGAGCCAAGATCAGTTTATAACAGAGCCAAGTCGGCTTTATGGTTTGATTTATGAAACCTGTCGGTTAAGCGATTTATAAGCCGTGTCAAAAAACAATAAGTGCCAGATACTTGCGGGGCTTATGTCATCTTGAACATATAGTACAACTTACAGAAACTTACAAATCTAGAATGTAATTGTATAAGAACTGTGTGCCCGATTCTCTGGATTCTCTTGACTCGAAGTGAGAAGCAAATTAATGTTGAGGCCTTTCAATTTTCGTGGGGTTAAATCAGTTGAACTCTTAATTGTGTATTTTCATTATCAATTGAGAAGCGCCCAGTTCTTTTCACTTCAATTCGGTTTAGTTCATTATATAGAATACTTGAATAGTTGATTTCATAGGGCGTTGAATGTGTGTGGCGTAGCTATTTGTATTAAGTTTTCCATGTCTGTTTGCCAACAAAAAAAAACAACATTTCAATGTCAACTCGATCACGTTTTCTACAGCAATTTGTTGCTGGATTTTGTTCGAATTTGATACACTCTAAAGAGCGTGGCAAATTGCCCAAGTGGCTCAAAGGGGGAGGAGGAGAGAGACTCGGTCTTACATGAGGTTTTACATTGGTTTTGTCATCCACTCACACACAGACTTACACACACCTGATACTGCGATTGGGTAACTAGGTATTACCACTTGAGGTTGACTGCTAGTTCGAGCTATTAGTTCTTCATCTTCCCAGCCTTAGACGCTGCTCATGTTTTGCCCATAATCTGAGGTTAATCCGGTTGGGCTTGGCTGCGTCTCAGTGTCATTTCAAGTGCTCGCCGATCGCTCCACAAACGCTCCATTAATCAAATGGGTAATGTAACATCGGTCAGATTGTATTTCAAGTTTATAGAGATGAGTTATAATGATGTGAATATTTTAGTTTAATGAATGGTACTTCGTAAATACTCTAGATTATTTTGGAAATGAGGTAATTATTAGGTAATTAGAAGCTAAAAATGCAAGATTCTTGGCCTAAACATAACTTTAAATTGATAATGGCTTATAGTCTTCAAATGGTTTATTTTATTCATATAAATTACTATAAATTTCACCATTTTAATATCTTTTCTTCATCCATTCACTGCCCAATTATGACTCATTTAAAACAATGACAGCTATAAATATATATTTTTGAAATTCTTTATCGACTTTGTCAAGTTGACTTTTGCCAAACGAGAGAGAAGCCAATTCAATCTGTCAATCATACAATTACAGATTTCTGTAACCGAATATTCTAGCTCATGGATTGATTACACAAACAAATATTCCACTCACAGTGCGGATTCTTTTCGATTCTGACCAATAAAAATCTGAAATCAATCAATCAAAAGGCATTAAAAATGTTATTTTGAGATACCAACAAAAAAAGTTGAAATAAACTTGATGTCGGCGGGGCCAATCACACGCTCTATTTACAGCAAATTAAAAATTCAGAAACTACAAAAACATAGACCGAACGAGAAGAAACAAAAACCCATAAAACTGGTACAAATATTGGTCAAAATATTTACCAGCCACGCCCAGGGACAAGAATTAATGATTAATGATCATCGCTGCACAGAACGAAGCCGAGAAAGTGCCTTAAATGCCACAATAAACGTTATTAGATCGAAAGGGGAAATTATATCTTACACACATTATTAAACACTATTGAAAATGGCCACAAAGGTGAGGGAAATAGAGGCTAAAATGCACTGGGAAAAAATATCTTAAAGAAATTTAAGATACTTTCTTAAAGGTTTAAAGGGTTTGCGGGTAGAGATTAAAATTAAAACAAATTCTTGTCATGAGAAAATGATATAGATATATATTTTTGAAAGTATTTTTTATACTGAAATTTATCTTAAAGTGTGTGGCATCCACTCCAAGTGGCGCCCACTCGCCATATCCCATCTTCATCTTCATTTGGTATGCGGCTCATCTGCTGCCTTTTCCAGATAATCATCGATGGCGTCGCGTAACGCGCCGGACAAATGCTGAAAACTTGTCAATCCCTGGAGAGGGGGGAACCATCTAAGATTCCCAGATGTGTGGTTAATTTATGTAGATTTATGCCCAATCCAGTTGAGAGAAATATCTTATAATTTGTTACCAACTTCTGCAACGACCGTAGCGGAGCCCTCTTAACCCATTAGCATAATGGACAAAATGCTGGCCATAAGAAGAATCTTCGTCGGTAGCCAAAACCAGAAATAGTTGAAGAATCTGCGACAAAAGTAGCAACAAATATCGTTAATGATGTGCTAATGTCGCCAAACAATATTTGACAACCAAAACAGGAATATTGTTTTTACAAATTATGGAAGTTGTGCCACGGGGCTCTTAAAATAAAATAAGCATAAAATAAATAATAGAGATAAATATCAGATAATATTAATGGGAAGTAGCTACCTTAGTTGTAATATATATTTTTATACCTTTTTGCTGGGTATTATAATTTCAGCCAAAAGCATAAAACACAGTGAAGAAGTCATTTCCGACCCCATATATCATATATATTCTTGATCAGAAACAACAGCTGACTCGATCTAGCCATGTTTAGTGGATAAATAAATTTTTTCATATTTTTCGAAATTTAAAAAAAAAGATATGGGGTTACATCGTTAAAATTTTCAAAAAATTCCAACAAATTGAATTATTTAAATTTAAAAAAATCAGTAGAACACCTTTCCTAATAAAAATTAATGCATTTTTGGCTTAATTATTTTGCTTGAAAAACTTTGATTATTTAAAAAAAATTGCCTGTTT